CGATTCCAACCGGGCACGATTTTCTTTTCGCGCGCGTCGGGTGCTTTTCACGAACGATGTTACGCGAACGCGGAACGAGTTTCACGTGTATAATGTAACGATACAGCGCGTAGCGTCGCGCGGGGAGGATGGAAATGGAACTCGCGGTGAGCACGAGTAGGGTAGCTAGGTGGATGGTATAGTATGCCTTTTCTTCGGCACCGCCCCAGTAATGGTAGGCACGTATTTGCTCGGGCTCGGTTTCCATCGACTGCGGAAAAATGTGCGCGGGAGGGCTGGGAACACATCCAGCCCGTCCGCTTTAATTCCTCCAAGAATGGGCCTCCGCTCTCAATTCACGCCGGGATTAAATTTGATCGTTACTTCCTCGATTACGCCCCACCCCCCTTTACCCCTCCGGATAATCGCCCGTGAGGAGGAACGTTTTAATGGCTCGAAATTTTAACCCCTCTGCACGTGTTCTGCTTATTCCCTCCCTTGTTCGTTTAAAATTCGTTCATTGAATGATTCCGGTTCGTGTGTCGAAGAAATTGATCAGAACTAATTGCCACGTTTTTGCTTATTTAAGAGTTTGCAGATATCTATTGAAGAAATGCCACTGGGCTGTCACGCTATTACATATATTTTGTCGTTTCGAGTGTTATTACTGAACGTTCGCAGGTCTGTTCGGTCAAAGTGTTCGTTGTAATTTGCGTACGGATTTATTCGATATGAAATTGCCGTCGTCAGAAACTTACCATGGCAGGGAACGTAAATCGTGATTAAAGTTCCGTTCAATTAAGACAAGCCGAGGTGTAATTCAAGATCACCATTAACGCGCCTTGCCCGGTCATTAATAGGAGGGATGCCATACCGTACGTGCCGAATGTTTATGTCCGGTTATTAAAACTGTCTGAACTAACAAGGCCATATCGGGTATGAATCCTCCGTTTCCGGCCGATATTAAATTCCTTCGCGATTAATTTGCTAACTTTCGTTAGGAGTGAGGAGTTCGTCTCACTGCGGAAGAAATTTACTTCCTATTTAATGACGGCCTTTCAAGGGAACAGATTATGAGAGAACGGAAGGAAGTAAAATACAAAATTAAATTTTGTTCATATTTATATCCCACTTCTCGCTGGTTTTGTAACTGTATCCATGTGTCTGTGCGCGTAAAATGCTCGATGAAAAATAAATTGCGCCAGCGATTAAAAATAAATATTCGTAGAATCCTTTCGGTCAAGCTTTTTAAACTCTAACAGGGAAAAATCGGATTTCCCCGTATCGCGTATAAAAATGAAAAATGCAGAATTAACGAATCTGCTGTTACGAGGAGAAAGCAGAATCTCTAGTCGTTTGGAAAAGATTCTATGCATTTTCTCTTAAGAACAAGTGGCCGAGTTTGACTTTAAACGCCAATTGAGACCTCGTTTAAGTCGTATATCCTATCCGTTTCTTCTTTTGCTTTCCTCGTTTAGTGGAATCGTTTTGTAATGTAGAACGAAATCGAGCTTTACGAGGTCTCCGGATAAATCTGAGCGCGACTCGCTCGCGGTATCTCCAAGTATTTCCTCGGATTCCAAGAAAGATTCAAATTATCAACAGACTAAGAGTAATACATCCAATTTCGATCTAATTGAAACCTAACTTTTGTATCCTACAGTTGCGATACATCAGAACTGCGTAATTAAGAACGTTACAATCCCTCGTAGCCATGCAGCACTTTAAAATAATCGCAAAACACTTGCTACTGCGAGATTAAATTATCGATTCCTCGTTAAGAGAGTAACTCGGCAACAGCTAAAAAATAGTTAAGAAGAGAAACATAGAACTCTAATTCCCTCGAAAACAAACAGGAAACCCAGGGGTAACAATCGATCACACCCCTCGCAAACAAGCCTTCCATCGTTCGTAAAATTTCCATCCACCTGCAGGCGCGCCACGTTGCTTGACAAACAATTCCCGAAAACCGCCCGCGCGTTAGTCGAACGAATGTTAAACAAACTCCCTAGCTCTGCGTGCCTATGAGCACACGAAATACATTTTCCCACCCTTAACTCCCAACCTCTCTTATATGCCCGTAATCCAACCGATTAATTCAGCAGTCTGTCTACCGTGGATATTATCGCAGTTTCCGGGATAACGGAGACTGGTTAAGCAGCTATCTGCCGTCGTGTCGGAACGACGACGCGGGATGCGGGCACGATTCTTGAACCGTGGTGTTATCATGCCAGTTAATCGAGTAAACCCTGCCAGTCCTTAGTACAAGGCCGGTGCCCTCAACCCTTCCTCATCAATCTAATTGAGGATCTGTCGTTGATAACAATTTTCTCATGTTTTTCATTATGGTACGAACTAGATAGTGGACTGGTGCATAATAGATGTTTCGAAACAATGGCAATATTGAACTGATGAAGAAAGAAAGGCTTGGGTTTATCAAAACTCGTGTGCATTAACTGGCGAGGTTAATCAGTCCGTCGCGTTTTCTGCGCTCTCGAGGAGAATCGAACCACCACAGACGCTATGACCGAACGAGAGAGGCTGGCTGCCTTTTAATCAATGCCGGACCTCCGGCTTCGCTTGAATTATTCAACCCAGACCCAGGCCGTTCGAGGGTCACGGAATATTCTCAAGTTCGTGTAGACGCCCCTCTAGAGGCCAACGATCTTCACCCGCCCTCTCTCTATCCAGTTTTCCCCGTCACCCTTTAAAGCCTCTGGATTTCTTCTTTTTCAAACAGGTTCGATTCTGACGAGGCTGCCTCACCCCACTTGAGGAGTTTCGACGATGCTCGGTCCTCCGGAAACTGGAAACTTTCAGAAATTTGCTGCGAACCCTTAAAATCTGTTTGATTGTTTCTTTTTTATCTGCTGTCTTTTTAAATGACACTTGGCGGTTATTCGTAACGAACCATTAGCGTTATTTGGAAGGTGAATGAGTTACGCTCGTTCTCCGGATAGAATGTTGCAAAAGCTTGAGCGCAGCGTCGCGGAGAGTCAAGGAAACGTCAGGGAAAACGTTTGAAGCATTCGTGGAATTCTCTATCTGGGTACGTGGCTACGTGAAAGACTTTAAATAATTCCGCGAAGGAGACGGTAAACCGGGAGCGTCGTTACTCGGCATTTTAATTGCTCCGCGTCATTAAAAGGGTTGCGATACTTTTAAAATACTCCTTTTGAAGTTCTCCCTGCTATCAGTTGCGCACGTAAGAATCCGTGGTTTGTCGAAAATTGCTATTCCTAAAAATTTATTCATAGCTAACTCGTAAAGCAGCGTCGAGTTTCGTGGAATAATAAGCGATGCGGGGGCAACAATTTTCCAGGCGATCGCGTATAGCGATAAGCGGGTTCATTATTTTTCCCGTTAGGGTACCGGCGCGGCGTGTCGACCACGAGACCTCTCGTTAAGCCGTGATAAGCGTCCCGACGTTGTTCCCGCGGGTTCCTGGTCTCTGAAACGACAAGAAAATTATTCCACGACATATCGGGCCAAGGGAAAATACGTTTACGGAGGCTTAGAGAGCCTTAAGCGCGTCAGTGAATTATTGGCCGAGGGAAATCGACCGTTGCGGGGGTGCAAATCGAGAATAACCATCTCTATGTAAATCCGGATATAATTCCTGCCGTGATTCATAAGATATATGTCGTTGACGGCCCGGACTCCGCGCTATCGCGACCGCCGCTGAATTTCATGATTCGGCGCGAACGTCATGAAAAATAATTTGGTTCGTCGACCCAACTTTTATCTAGCGGGAATTTATGAAAATTAAGAGATCTCCTCCCTCCTTGAAAAACCTCCTCGCCTTTCACAAATAATTCTCATTGATCGTTGACAGCCAGTGCTCCAATGTTGAAATCCATATCATTAGCTGTTTGTGATATTCAATTCTGCTATCTCCTATTATTCCCGGTTTCACTGCATAAAATATTTGCTTTCCTATTAGTATTATTTTTCAGAGAGACATGACAACTTCACCGAAATTTTATCTGTCAAAAAGTAGGAATCGCGACTTGAGTAGAACGAAATATTAAGGAACGTTTCCATTTTCTCGCGCGTTAGCACGAAAGCGTTTTGTCCTCCGCAACAAGCGAGGGGGGTGCGCAGAAGGGGATTGAAACGAGAGATCCGAGGATACATCACTGTGGCTCGCTTGTTTCTCGCGTTGTTCTCGCGGTGCATAAGTAGCAACGGGGAGAGAATCCCGACTTAAATTTCTCGACTGCGGGGCTCGGGGTTGGACAGAGGGTGAAAGCCGAGCGTAGCGCGGGGGTTTTACACTATTGTTACACGGAGAGATTGCGGCAAACAACGGCCGACCGGTGTAAATTATTGAAGAGAACCGCTTACCGGGGAAGTTACTCGGAAAAACGCGCTGAAAATGGCGAACGCCCGTACTTTTATTTTTTTTCGTCCGCCCGACGCGACGTTTTCCGTCCGCCGTCCGCGTTTGTTTTCCCCGCGAATCGCCGCGTCGCATCGCGTCGCTTGTTACTATGTACTACGGCGAGAGTGCATTTTCCGGTGGAATTGTTGTTCTTGCTATTTTACTGATTGCAGCTCACTTTTTTTTTATCCTTTTCCAATCTTCTGACTCCCGCGACTACGAGAGGATCAATCGTCCTTTTCACTTCGCGTTCAACAAAGGGAAATGAACGCATTGGAAAATTGAAAATCAACCGTTTTCGGCAGTGCCTTTTATTAGTTCGTTGTAGCTTTCGTAGTACACAGGTCCATTTTTTCCCCCAGTGTCATGTTGCGTTGGATTCTGTTACTGGGGGATTGACAGCCATAAGCTGGAAATCTAGCGAACACGGCATTGTAAAAACAAAGGCATTGTGGCACATATAAAAATTTCCTACGGCAATTGTTATCAGTTTTTCATTTTGGTGAAAAACGATTGCCAGTTACTAACAATACATGCGGACGTACAATAACAGTATAACAATAGATAATTTCCTTTCTTTTCACGTCCATTTAATTAAATATAGCTAGTAACTGGCGCAAAAACAATTCGTCCGCTCCGCTGATTCATTCTTTCATTAAGTAAAACTTCGCTTTTCTATCCTACATACGTAAAAAATTACGTTCACAATTTGCATGCCACTGTTCTTCGTTTCCAGTGATAGAATCGATGGAAACTCCGACTTGCAATTAGAACCCGAAACGAAATTCATCCCTCATTGTTCGTCCGTTTTCTTTACAAGTCCCTTGTACAAGCAACTGTTCCGTGACGAATTCACGGCGAACACAAACAATCGTCGGCGTTGCAGTGAACCGGCCAGAATCCGAGCTGACTATACTCCTTCGTTTAAAGAGTCAATTCATCTTTTGAATATTCGGCTCACGATTGAGAGAGATTTAATCTGAAGCAGGAATCGAATCGAGTCCCGAGAGAAATTCCGCGATATTTACATCGCGTCCGCGTTTCTCATTGCCTTTCCTCACCTATCCCGTCGAAATCTTTTTCCTCACTCCCGGAAGGACTTGGATTTGTTCCCATTGATCGATCGGAAATTTATTTGTGAACGTCAACCTGTTTAACGGGACGGCTTTAAATATTCTGTATGTATATTTATAATTCCCATGACGAAGTTTCTCGTTCTCATTGAAACGCTTTCATAAAGATTTAAATTGCACAGAGTTTCGACTCGGCCGGGGTCGATGATAAAAGTGACGTTGTACGCAGAGAAAGAGGTGATAGTCTTTTTAGATCGATTACGAGGATCGTTATAATTCGCGTTCCCCTGCGAAGCGGCGAATCGAATTACGAAAATTTTCATCGCTAGCATTGCGTTGCGTTCGTTTAACGATGCCGCATTAACAATCTCATTAAATGCGCGCCACGATTTTACATTGTATTCGCCGATAACGAGACACTAACGGATCCTGAAAAATAATATAACCTCTGGATGCGTCCTCGTTACGTTGCAACGAATTTCTGTAAGTAGTATAAAAGAATGGGGAAAATATAGATTAAGAGCAAATGCAAAGAGTATTTTGTATGTTTGTTAAACAAGGGAAAACCTAAAGTAAGTTCTCCTATCAACTAGTTCCCTCGTAATCAGCTTTATTTGTTTATATACTTAACAAACAGCCCTTCATAAAGAAACAACGTAACTGTCTGCATAATTGACTCTGTTAATCTGTTAATGGTCTTGTTCACATAAGAATAATCGTAAATTAATAGTATCATACAAAATATAATACTGTTACATTCTCTACCTAAAAAAAGGTCTCTTTTTCGTTTCTAATCAGATCCCGATGAATGCAAACAGCATCAGTAAACCGTTCGTATCATTCTGGACGAGCAGTCAGCCTGATAATCGGCCGATCGCACACCGGTACGACTTTTCTACCCATTTTTCGGTCGAGTCACGATACCACGCTCGGCTTGATGGTCGCGGTGGGGGCGGTAAACTCGACGGTCGCCGGGGTGGGGTTCGTCCTACGCCGAGGCAGCAGCAGCGGCGTCGCGATGTCGGCCCGGTAGTCGTTCGAGGTGGTCTCTCGAGGTAGCAGTGTGCCGCGAGCTTTCCACGAGCTTGCACGCGCGTGCTCGTTTCCCCTCTCGGCTCACCGCGTGACACGTGACGATACTCGTCCCGTTCGCGTCTGCATCCTTTTATCTCGTCGCGTTCCCCGTCCTTCGAGTTCCGTTCAGCGGGTGTGCGTGCTCCAACTACCAGAGAACGGCCGGATCGAGCTGCCGAGGCTGGTTCTCACGAAATCCCCGACTGGCGACGTTGGACCAGCTCGTTCACTGAAGAGAAAACAGTGAGTACTTGTGAATATCCATTTGTAGATTTTAATTGGATGTGCTGCGAACACCTGTTCGGTCGAGCACAGCTACGTGACTTTGCGGTTTCAGGACGCTTGTTCAGAAAGCTTGTTTTAAGAGATTAGAGAAATAGGGGATGATCGTAAATATTTCTGGAACATGTTTCATGCTTCGACGCGAAGTAATAAAACGCAATTGCACGCATTTTTAGAAAATTACAGTGGATTTTTTTAATATTTATTTACGAACGTTCTTCACAAAGGACACTACGTAATCACCTCGCTGTTAGAGTATATGTTTCAATAATACTTGAATTTGTTTTTGGAAGGACACACGTGCCACACCTTTTCATTATCACGCAATAACGTAAATATGAAACACGTTGCTTTGTAAACGTCGCAATACCATGCTCGTCGTACACTGCTTCAATCATAGCCTTCCCCATTGCCACTTCTCGTAACGATATTCATTAAAATTACGATTTGGTTCGACTCGCGTCTAGTTGAAACTAAAATATGTATAATGTTTCCGTTTCATAAAAAGCGGCGCACATTGGCCTGTCTCTTCCATCATAATCAAGCTTATTGATCACCGATTCGCACAATAATTCACGCGGGGTCTTAAGTTGTTTCGCACGCGAGCACGCGATCCCGAAAGCCCGGGCTTAACGTCTCATTCCGAGAAAACCGGGCCGACGACGACGTTGTCGCTAATTTTCCACTCACTCGTCGATCATCCTCAAAGTCCGTCGTCGACTTCCCAAAGGGGGATGGTTATCGGTGCTAGGAAAAAAAAGGGAGGAACTCACGAAAAAGCGAAACCATTACGTCTCCCCGAGCGAAAGTGCCACATTTTACCACCCTTTTCATGCGCGTTATCAGATCGTTGGTATTAGAAGCGAGCTTGCAAATATTTTGGAGGGAAACAACACGTGATATACTTGCCTTTCTTTCGCAATATACATTCCCATTAATAAGCATTACGACATTTCACGGACCAAGGATGATAATAATAAAGTAAGACGTTAATGAAATACGTCGGATATCTTGCTAATAAAATAGCAGATTTGTTCTTTTTGTCTACTTTATTGCGGAAATATTTAATTACATGTAACTTGATGAAATGGAATGTTTACCGAGTTTAATAATTTCGTCATACATTTTTCCCCGTTTATTTGCACGTCTTAATGGATAGAAATATACGCGTACGGAACGTTGATACAGTCTTTTACGATTCGCGAGGCGGAATGTAGGCTAACAAGTTCGCTTTTGAAAAAAAAAAGGAAAGAGAAAGGAGCGCGGCACGTTACGTTAGTTTTTTTTTCGAGGGAAGTTCATTTTCCATCCACGACCGGGGACGGTGTCTGGACAAAACGATGCGCGTTACGCGTTACGTTCCGCGACGTTTCGAGGGGCGAAAAAGCAGCGAGGTCGCGGAACGAGAGAATGACGTGACTTTGGAAGGCGACGCGAAGCGACGTTATCGTCGCCAACAGGTGGAGGGCCATTAAAACGGAACGACGCTGTAACGGCGCGCCGATCGACGCGACGCTGCCATGCTAAATTACCAAATTAAACGCGTCTGGACGATGAACAGAAATACATGGACAAGTAAGGTAGCTTCGAGAAGTGCCAATGTCGTCTCGTCTGTTTCGATCGAGATTAACATTGGAGCAACATAGCATGGATTATTTCGTTCGACCTATTTTCATTTGAAGTTCGGGTTCTCCCTCTACGTCACCGCATGAATTTTTATTTCCGCGCGAAATGCACTCTATTGTTGGTGAAATTCTTTTATCTGTCCCCTGTTGAAACGAGGACGCGGCAATTTAATTTAATTTCATCGTGTATAGAAAAGGGCGCGCGGCTTCAAATAAAATCCTGCTGCGCTCCTTCTATGCACTCCTACCAAACGCTGTCTTCGACTAACGCAAAGGAAAAAATAAGCAACAAGCTTTTTCCAACTATTCGTTGACTCGTGATTTTCAGCCTCGTTTAATCCTGTCGAGATAACTGCAAAATTAATCCTCGCCCGCTAATTCTTTCCAGCGCAGCTACGCTATAACTGGATGCAGTCGATCACAGTTTCGGATCTCGATAACCCGATAGTTTCGCGAGCAATCGGTTTCTGTATAATTTCAACAAGCGAAATTTATTTGTTCGATATAACTCGCCCCGGATGGGGGGACGGGGTGGGTTAGGGGGATTAATTTTGTCAACCGCGCAACAATTTACTATCACGATAACGGATTGATTTAGCGGAAGATCGGCAAGACAGTTCAATCCGGTGGGGACTCGGGCATTTTCCCGACGAAAATTGAGTAGCGGGAAAGGTGATTAATTTTACGTGACCCCGGCATGATAGATCGATTATCTCTTGGGCGAGCCGCCGCGTCCCACCGTCCACTCGATACATCCTGAATTCAATTAAAAAGTATTGCCAATTTTCGTCCATCTTTCATTGGCCAGTGCTGATACGTCTAAACCCCCTTTGAAATCCACCGAAAGTCCACCGCATTTGATTGACTGACAACTTTTATCCGTCATTCCGATAATATTTTATTTCGTAATTCACGTAGACGCGGCTGCATTATGATCTGTCAGCTGGCGATATTCCCACGTACACCTCCGTTCATAAGTTATGCTAGGATCAGTCGCAGTGTCTATTAAAATTTCTGATGAATATTCCAAATTATTATCTTCAGATCACAGTTAAAACTATATAGTAAATGTGACAGATTATATAAATGGTTCGAATAAAATAATATAATGGAGTTAATAAATTAGAAGAAAGTTAATCAAATTTTCATTTGGTCCATTCGTATTCTTTCGATATATTTTAAGACATATGAACGGGGATATAGTTCGTCGTCCGCTGAGAGAGAAAAAGGAACCACGCGATAGACGAAGAGCTTTGCCGGAGATAACTAAAGAACAAGTAGGTATAGGTAAAAAAAACTTGGACGCGGAAGGAGAAATTGGACAAAGAGGCGGTGCTCGCATAACGATCGTTTACGCTGACGAGTAAACGCGAAACGGAGGAGAACCTCGACTAATAAAGTCGGGCATTAATATTTAGGTCGTCGAGTCGGTCGGGGCAAACGGGGAAAAATGTTTGCACGCGGGGAGTCGAGGAAACTGAAGGCGATCAAACGAGGTTTCTTTCTGGGTCAATGTGATTTCAAAATTTATGTTCCCTAGGAATCAGGCGAGAACGTTTGATTTCGATCGAATCGTTAAACGGTATTGGCGAAACTAAAGAAATTTCGCCTCCTTACGGAGAACTTTTCTCCGGCGTACAACAATATTTTTTTTTCGACCGAGTTGACGTAATTTTAGTCTAGCAAAATTCCTTTTTTAATTCTCTCAACGTTTTTCCCGTCGCAAATCCTTTCTTTATCATCTGCCGTATAAGACGGTTCTTACGGTAAAAATGAAAAAGGAATATCCCCTGCGGCTCACGTCTAATTTCATAAACAATGAAAAACCGTGAGCGTAATTAGGTGAAACGGGCTTCTTAATTTCAGCATTGCCGCGACCATAAATTACTGGCCACCGAATTAACCTAATTTTATATTAACGCTATTAACGGGATATATACGTATGTCCGTTCACGCGGATTAGCCGTTTTTCTTGATTTCAACGTGGTAGTTGCCGCACGCCGTTGTCGGCGGTCTTGATGCGATTTTAATTGTATATTTTCCACTTTCGCCGCAAATCCTATCCCGCCTTTTCCTAGCCGTGGAATATCCAGATAAGAAAGGGGCCGGAATTAATTGAATCGCATACGCTTAACGATTGTATGAAACATTGCGAAACGATATTAAATCAACGTAATAACATTGTTCGTACACGTACACCGGATTCCATTAACGTTCGCCAGGAATTAATGATCGAAACATCCCTTGGGACATTATCGATACCTGTCAAAGATATTAGCCGAGCAAGGGTGGGGATAGCAGTTACGGAAACAGGAAGGAAACCGTGGCGAGGTCGAGGGTGGAAAAAAAAAGGGAGCGGAGAAGAACAAGGACAGGAAACGAAGGCAATTGGTCAGGGAACGGGTCGTGTAACTAACTCGGCCTACTAGTCACGTAGAATCAGACAAGATTCATTGAAAATCTGTAGCCGTGCCCCGGGGATGATACAAAATTCTGGTCTTCTTCCGGGGTAATTGAATCCCAGTGCGCGGCCAGACCCGTTCTCCGCCGTCCCGCCGTTTCTATCTTTCTCTCTCGCGGCCTTCCCATTCAGCCGGACTGGGAACATATACGCGGCCTTGTAGTTTATTTTCCATCCAGCTCGCTTTACGATAAGACAGAAGCAATATCTTGCTACAGGTGGCTGAATATACGTAGGTGGTGGCTCCGTCGCTTATTCACGGCCACTCGCGCCGTTCATCCGTCCCATTCGCAAGGAAACTCGTCTCGTCGCGTATACATGTTACACGTTCCCGTGTTTTGTGTGCGCCTCGCGAATCAGAGATACGGGCAAGCATTCGAATATCGCGGGCTACACGCTCTAATTAACGGCCCCTTTGCTTTGGTTTCATCGCCTCCTGTTTAATAATTAAGGATCTCTCCCCGTGGATGCATACTGTATAAATTGGGACTTGCACCAGACCAGACCAAATATCCGCTTTAGAAATTTTATAAATTAACAATAATGTTTTTCTGTGAACTTACGTTTCGTCAGTCATATAAATTTAAAAGTAAAACTTTTTTTGAATAGTGATGTTCGATTGATGATCGAAATGTTAATGGAACATAAGTCCCGTGTGGTTTGTTTGAAATGAAAAGCGTGCGGATTCAGTGATCTGCACATGAGAGATATTAATTAACCTGTGAATGTCAGCAATAAATGTTTTTCTGTGAACGTTCTGTCAACCTTATGGTTCGTCAGTCATGTACATGAGTTTGAAAATAAAAGTCGTTTAAATAGAGACATTCGTTTGGCAGGGAAAACGTTAATGGGACATTAGCACCGTGTGTTTCGTT